GAGCATTTAATCTAAAAAATGCAGCTTCAAAATCAGTATATACGCTTAAAGATACATACAACACAAAACAGGAACCAAAAAAAGATAAAAATCCAGAACCCTAGAAATGTCGAAAATAGAATCGAATCGAATATACCTTTTTGATGGATGGATCGAGCCACTCGTACCATCTCGCCTTGCACTGCTTCGCGGATTTTCGAACTAGCAACGAAGAAATCCTGGCCCACTGGTTCTTGCCATATTTCATGACCGCCGCCTTCAAGATCTCGTCCTCCGTATTCTTCCATACTCCACCCTTGATCATAATCCTCATCTTGCCGGCTTAAATTAACCACAGCAATCAGCTCAATTGAAGATAAATCTGCGAAGGGGTGATTCTTTAGGGTTTTTTAGGGCTTCGTAGCGCTCTCTATCTCTCTCTCTCTCCTTTCTCTCTCCCCTCTCTCCGCTCTCGGCCGTACCCAAGTTATAGCGTAGGGCTGATTGACCCGATAAAACGGGTAAGGATCCAAATCGGGTTTTCTTTGTTTAAAGGGAAGGCTACCCGTTTGACTGGCTTTATTTGTGCTTGTATACAAAAATATCCGCTCAAAATGAGTTATTTTTGTTAACAATAGTTAATTTAAAAAAAAATATTATATGGTTAGTTATTAGTGAAATTTTGATTTTATAGTAAAATAATATTTAAAATACAAATAATTTGACTTGATGGCTGATGCAAAATAGGAGAAAAATGATATAAAGTTTTTTTAATTAAATTATGTGAGTGGATGAATAGTGAATAAAGATGACGTGAGATATAAAAAAAATTGGTTGATATTATAACAATGGGAATAGTGGAGTCGGGTTAAAATTAAGTTAGATTTTGAGTGTGAATTGAGTAAGGATTGTGATATTTCGTATACAAATACCGCATTTCTAAAAAACTTGCATTAAAAATTATCATCTTTAAGTTTTGCAATTTTTAATCCATGTCAATTAACTACACAAATCTAATTATTTAACAAGTGATTGAAAAAATTATGAGCTTGGAAGAAACTTTTAATTCTAAATTCTATTCGAGTTCAAAAGAGCTTCTTTGAAAATGCTTTATCAAATGAATTTTTGATTTCAAAATCCATTCGAGTTCAGAAATCAATTAGGGATTAAGTTATAGATTATGGATAAATTGGATTCCAAATCTAGTTTATTTGCTTTTTTTTTTTTGGTTATCTATTTATTCATTTTGTTTAATCAACTTTGTCTTTCATTTATATAGTTCTTATTTATCTTTTTTTTTTTAATGTATTTGGACACCACTCGATTTATTTTTATATTTTATTATATTTTTTTGTTTTAATAAATTTTATTAGTGTACGGGAAAAATAGGAGTACCATTGTTTGATTTATAAAATAAAAGTACTTGATAGCCCGGAAAATAAAACGAAAACTATTAATTAAAATAAGAACAGATTTCAATTATTGTCGAAACATAACAATTGAAAACGAGGTATTTTTCAAACACTAACAATCTAATATTGTAACAGAAAAAAAGGTAAAATGAGGTTGCTTGGTTTAAAGACAAAAATAATTGAGTTCCTTGACCACCCAAAAAAAAAAAAAAAACGAAAGCAATTAATTAAACAAGACCGAGTTGCAATTGATGTCAAAAAATAACAATTGAAAATGAGATATTTTCGAACAAGAACAATCTCCAACAAAATTCGCATCTAAAAGGAAAAAGTAAATGTCGGAGATTGTTGGAGATTTTGTAAATTCACGTTATCCATCTTCTGTAAATTCACGTTATACACAAGATATGCAATTTACTCAATTTCACAGAATGCAACTACAACCCAATTTCAAAATTTTTCTTTCAAATACTAGTACCAATGCATTATAGACTTCAAAGTATTTTTCTCAAATCACCAAATTTAATGAATATGAATCAATCTCAATATATGTGGTCAATATTGTCCCGATATGACATTCTAAATGCATTTGGGATGCCTTATCAACAAGAAAATAATAAGACAATTTCATGCCGACTAGATCCTTTAGTAGCCCCATTGAAGTTCCACGATCTTGCACAATCCCCGATGTTGAAGGGATTAACAACATTTACCTTGATACAAATTCATAAAAAAGCAAAAGAATTAAAAATGTAATAGTTCCTAAGAGAATTGTGTCTTATTTTCATGATACAACTAATTGGACTTTTTTTGAATTAAAAAAAAAAAAAAAAAACTTTGACATTCACAAGTGGATTGACTCATTTACCTTCACTTTCCCTTCTTTTTTCTTTTTCCTTTTTTTTTAGAATTAAAAATGCAGTTGAGACTCAATACTATAACCAATAACCAATCCATTGATTAACATAGAAACTCATCAACTACATATTTATTCATAGTTAGAAGAGAACTATCCATCCATGACCATGACATACAACTTTCTCTGTAAGATCACTAGTACTGAATAAATTTAGAAAAGATAACCAATACATATATACATAGACAACAAAAATGGAGTTTTCTCAGCTGTCAGCAGCTCTGAAAACGGTCATAAGCGAGAGGAAGAGGTTTATCACATCCAAATACAAAGCAACGGCAGCCCATATGTACTCATCATACGTGTAGCGTTTGATAAGATTATCCGTGTCGTATATGATGTAACCACAGAAGATTATCGAGGCCAGGCAGCCATAGATCATCACACTTATTCGACCTAATGGGAAAAAGATCTGCAAACACGAAAAAAAAATAATATTCAGTTCCAAATCTTAATGAAACTCACTAATTATCAAACTTTGCAAAATCCAATTTGTAGGCAGTCGATCGATTATGTAAATGATCCGTACTTGTATAAGTGCAAACAGTATGAGAACCATAACAGCACCGAACAAGAATGGCCCCAAGAAATTGAAGTCATGGCCTCTCTTTGCAGCCCAAAATGTGTATAGAGTGAGACTAACTACCACAACAGCGGTTAGGATAACAGATTCCAGAATGACTTTCCCTGCAAACCATTCAATTTGCCGTGATCATCGTCAAACGTCAGCAGAGTTGCAATCACAATTACTAACTTCGATGAGAAACTTTAAAAATGAGGAAAGAACACAACCCCATTTTCGCATCTAGGGATCATCCACCATTAATGTTTCTATTCTCGAATAGATACCGAGGGGTGCTTGTTTACAAAATATTTAAGTCACATTTAATTCATAATCAAAATTTAACTCAACTTTAATTCAACCACACTATTCTTAATATTTATTAGTCATATTCAATAATACAAACCAATCATTCTTACACAACACATCAACTTTAATTCATTATCTATCCACTCACATGATTTTATCTATCTATCACTTCACATCATCTGTCTCATACTTCTTCATCAAATCAACTTCAATTATTTTATTTCAAATAGTATTATAATATAAAATCCCTCTAACAACTAAATATACAACATACTAACCAAAACAATTCATTTTGAGCGGATCAATTTGTAAACAAGCACGCCTTGAATCCTACCACCCTTTACTAAAACAAGGAAAGCCCTTGTTGTAGCTATTTGAGTTTCTATAAAATGAGTCCATTTCAAGTCAAGTGGTGAAATGACGACTTCAATTTCAATGTAGCCTCAATACATTTACTTGTATCCAATTTCAATCAATCAAAGCCACACGAACCAGAATATAACAATCGAAAGTGCCGAAACAGTTCACTCGTAAGCATATCAACAATACTACACTATTACAAAATCAAGAAAAGGTGTAGAAGAAAGATTACTTGCAACACAGACACGAAGACAACTCAGATTGTAAGTTTCGATGGCAAATGTATTCCCTTTAACCCGTATAACTTAATGCAGGCCAGTTATACCCAAATACAAGCAGCCTAAAAAGGCGTTCATAAACGAATGCCCACTCGAGTATCACGAATTCTTGCTAAACAACCTTTACGAGATCGAAAAAATTTACTAGAGTAACTCAACAGAACTGCAGTGAATTTAAGTTCACATTTTCAATCATAATTCGAGGCAACAATCAGGAAAGAACGGAATCACTCACCAGTGGTGAAAGCACAGGTCAACCCCACCACAAACGCTAGCGATACAGTAAACAGCCCAAGCAAGAAATAATTCACAGGGTGCTTCTGGTGATAATAATATAACGGACACAACACTGCAAAAAGACCCAAGAAAAAAAACCCATCAGAAAACTAATCGAGACCCATAAACTGGAGCTAAAAAAAAATGAATAGCAAACATACCAATGAAAGGGGTGATGATAAGAACAATGTACAGGGCCAAACCGGCGCCGGTGGTGGCGAAGAACCGTGAAATCGGGTGAACCGAAACAACAACGGCGGCGACCGCAATCGTGAGCAGCAACTGAACACTGATTATCGTGTATATCTTCCGGATGAAGGACCAACGGAGCTCTGGATTCTCCAGCATCGTCGGGTACCAATGTTGGGTACCAATGTTGGGTATCAAAGTAAATTACTGAGTCACTGTTTTCCAGTAAACTAATATATATGTGTATTTAAAGGCCACAA